GGGGGCTCCAGCCCCCCTAAAATAGGCCTAGTGACGCCACTGGCTCTGAGCTTTCTCACTGCATTTTAGCTAAAATGCAGTTTCTCTAGATTATTTTTAAATTTACCAGATCAGCAACAAAGAAGAATCAATAGAAAGCAATAATAAATAAATAAAAATGTTAAAGWTCCTAAATGTTGGTTCTGTTTTTGTTAGAGAGCTCTGCTCTTTAAAGTACAAATGTGGATTATCAGCAGCCACTTTTGTCTTGTGTAATTTGTTATTAGGCGTATGTCAGAGTGTGTAGCTGCAGATTTATAATAACTGTCATCAGGAAATGTTTGCACAGCAGTTATTTGACTCGTGAACCAGGATGACACTCCAGCTCAAACCTCAAATTAAAGTGTTTTCAATTTTCACCAAGCAAGTTTCTCTCAAAGCTGCAGACGTACAGGCTTGAAATAATCACACACACACACACACACACACACACACACACACACACTTTTCTCACTGCGGTCCTTTTCAAATATTTTTTTTCCTCCTCTCTGCTGTATCAGTGTGTTCTTGTAATTACGCCTCTCTATATAAATCCAGATCCCACAATTACAGCCAGCCCATGATTCCGTCCCACAAAGCGCACACACACATTAACATCTTCACACACACACACACACACACAGGGCTGCGACGCCACGGCCTGAACAACATCTGGTTTCTCCCTCCCTGCCGGAACCTGCCGGCTCTTTCCAATTACAGCCTCCACCTATAAAACTCCGTCCTCCCGTGTTGCTGCAGCGGCTCGAGGTGAGCGAGCTCGTCTCGTCTGCAGCCTGAAGACACTGATGAAGACACTGATGAAGAGGATGGGGGTGGGGGGGGTGGCAGCGTGCCTGGAGGGGCGAGGCCGGCGCCAGCCTTGCAGGCCACCAGGCTGAGAGGCCTGTTTCCTGCGCTCTACGGGCTGCATTAATGCACTGGTCTCCTGTTGAACGTGTTGGCAGCCTGAACGCTGAGCGTTATTGTAAAAATAAATGACTAATGCTGGAAGACATGCGTGCACGTCCTCCTCCCCCCGGCGCTGCCCAGCGCGGCGCGGCGTGCCCGCCCCCCTGTGAACAGWTGACGGGTGTATTTATTTATTAACCCTGCAGAGACACATTCCTCAGCCCTTTGATACACAAGGTATAATTGTCACCAGTCCTGTCTTTGTGTTCAGACTCCTGCCRTCAGACGGCCCGGCGGGCGTTTTAACTGAGCGCACGTGTCCGTGGTTTACGACTCGCCACCTCCAAACGTAAAGCTTTGGAAGTGAGGCGCTGCTTTATGGCTGAAGGTCTGGTGCTGCGATTAGAGCGCCGCCTGAATCAATTTACCTTTGAGCTCTGAGGTCTGCCAGCAGAGACCTGAGGAGCACGCTGACATCAGAGGGTGTGTGTGTGTGTGTGTGTGTGTGTGTGTGTGTGTGTGTGTGGGGACTGGTATTCCCTACTTTGTGGGAAAGTATTTTTTTGGCCTACACACCTATTTTTGGGGCCCTGACTGGTACTTATGGGGACCTGAATGAGGACTTGACTGGTACWTATGAGGACCTGACTGGTAGTTACATGGAACTGACTGGTACTTATGAGGACCTGATTGGTACTTATGGGGACCTGAGTGGTTGTTATGGAGACCTGACTGGTAGTTATGGAGACCTGACTGGTWGTTATGGGGACCTGACTGGTACTTATGGGGACCCAATGTTACTTATGGGGACCTGACTGGTACTTACATGGAACTGACTGGTACTTTTGAGGACCTGACGGTACTTTTGAGGACCTGACTGGTACTTATGGGAACCTGAGTGGTTGTTATGGGGACCTGACTGGTAGTTATGGAGACCTGAACGGTTGTTATGGGGACCTGACTGGTAATTACATGGACCAGACTGGTACTTATGAGGACCTGACTGGTACTTATGGGGACCTGACTGGTACTTATGAGGATCTGACTGGTACTTATGAGGATCTGACTGGTACTTGTGAGGACCTGACTAGTATTTATGGGGACCTGACTGGTAGTTATGGAGACCTGAATGGTTGTTATGGGGACCTGACTG